GGTTGGCGACAGTCAATAGTAGATTTTATGATATATTTCTATAATTATTACCACACTTAAATTGCTACTATTGTCTATTAAGTATTAGTAATTATAAGTTGRACCAATTTTTGACATAAACATCAGATTAATTTAATTATTATCATAGTATATATTTTTATACCATAGTTAATTGTTATTTGTTATTAATTTTAGTCAATAATAATCAGTGTAAATAGGTTCCTATTAAAATCAGGCAATAATATAAAATTAATCTTTATGTTATATAAAATAGCATTGTGTACATAAAATGGAATATCATATTATGTAAAATTTTCATGTTTTTGAGTTATAACAAAATAATTGAAGTTATTATCGTTATATTTATCTATCTAATTTAAACTTAGGATGTCTACAGAGTACAGACTGTTTCGAACTCTCTTTTGATATTCTCAATCTCTAGGAATTTTTTTCTTTTTTACCTCCCAYAAATACCTTTAGATTTATTTCCTACTAGAATAAATGCTAATGTTAAGAATCAAATCATATTCTATACTGTAAAATGTGTCACCCCGCATAAAAAAAATCGCATAGTTTTAAAATCAATATATTTATTTATAAAATCAGTTGGTAATTGCGACTTACCTATACCCTATAAATTTTAGAAAATTACTTTTTTTTTGAGAGATTCAAAATATGTTTGCAAACTGTTCAAATACTGTAGGTACTTACATTGAATGCTTAGACGTTTAGAGCTATAAAATCAGTATATGGTACTTAAAATAATATTTTATTAATATGTAACAGTTATTATGATCAATAATTAGTAGGTACCAATACATAGTAAATAATTTAGTTGCTGTTCTAATCATTAACCTGTTAACTTACAGGTCTATGGTTCWAATCATGGTTAAATAACTTAGTTATTTAGGCGCGTAGGGGCGTAATTAAGGAGGGGATGAGGGCCCCTCAAAATTTTGTTTTACTGAAATTTTATATTTGGTGGGGTAGGTTACTGTACGAAGC